CGAAAAAGAGGTAGGTCAATGGATTGCTTCCAAACTCGGCACAGACTTTTAGGAGAGAGGAATTCGAAGGTTGAGGAAGTGCTAGAGACTTGTAGTGTTGCAACAAGGAGATTATATCATTGATTCAATTTGTTTTTTGTTTATTTATTGCGTTTTGTAAATTGAGAAAAAACGATCATTAATTATGTTACAACCCAATACTAGCACATATATTAAAATCTTACCAAAAGATTAACAGGCACTTGCTTATTCTTTCCAAAAACAGATATAGCTGGAGATGCACCATTCACAACCTTCATCGCAGGACGCTTCTTTGCAATTGGAACTCTTTCGAAATTTTGTATTTTTGGTATAAACTTTCTTCGGACAGTAACTCTCTCAGGACAGTTTATTTGAGATGGTGTAAATTGAGGATTAGCCACACTAATTTGATTGTTTGCCTGAAATAAAAAATATTTTTTAAAGAATTCGAGTATTTCGAGTTAGAAAACGCATAACCGTACGCAAGAAAGGAGTAAGTAATGCGGGAATTTGACTTCCAAAGCAAGGGATTTTACATGAATATTCAATAAAGCAAAAGATTTACGTCTGTTGAAGTGAGCGGTGACCTAATCAAATTTCGATCATTCTCCTCGTTATTCATTTGCACTTGCCGCATATCCAAAGGTTGGGATGGAACATTTATTGATTCTTTCAGTTGGAACATTTCTAATTTCAGTTTCTCAATTTCTTTGTTTTTATCCTCAATTTCCTTGTTTTTGCCCTCAATCTCCTTATTTTTCGTCTCAAGCTCTTTGCACTTTTTCTCAATCTCTTTGTCCTTCTCCTCAATCTTCTTCACTTTTTCATCGATAGTCTTGACTTTTTCCGTGATTTCTTTATTCTTTTTATCAATCTCCTTGCCTTTTCTTTGATTCTCTAGTCGCTCCTTTTCAAGCAGTTCACCAAGTTCTTTAATTTGGTCCTTCATTGTCTTCATTTGCCTAAAAATGTAAATAAATGTAACACTAAAAATTTGAATTTGGAGTGAGAGGGTCAAGCCTAGTGCCAATCGAAATTTTCAAGAATTCCTAGCTTTTCTTCAAAAAATCTGTGGTTTAACAGAAGGCTGTATTTTCATTAGTTTTATAACAGAAATTCAAAACAAACCTCAAAAGCAAGTTTTTTTCTCCATGTTGATTCACAAGAATACCTTTCAAGTCTTCAAATTGTTCATTAATTCTCAAATTATTTGCTGCTGCATTAGTAATCTTTTCAATCTAAAAATCAAATAAAATTTCCAAAAAAATTTAAAATAACTATTTGATGAAATTCAAAGTCTTGAATTTCAGTTTCTTCAAATTGACGGTCTGATAAGCTCGCCACCCTGTCTAGCTCAATTGAAAGTTGCTGCTCTTCAAGTTGTTGATCTGAGAGTCTCGTCACCTTGTCATACTCAACAGAAAGTTGTTCACCTTCGAGTTGTTGATCCGACAATCTTGCCACTATGTCCGGCTCATTAGAAAGTCGTTGATCTACTGACGATCTTGCCACACGACCAGGCTCATTGGAAAGACAAGCAATGTTTTCAACTGAACTTGTCCTTACGCACTTCGGGCAATTTTTAGCTTCCTAAAAATAACAAATATTAAAAAAAGAAAAGAAACAAACTCTAATCCACTTGATTATGCATTCATTGTGATATAAATGGCCGCAACAACAGCCAACGCCGGACATTGAGAATTAAGACTTGTATGTACACGCAAACAAGAATGGATGCTTCTAGTATTTCAATTAAAATAATAATTAAGGCAGATCCAGCTCCGGAGACCTAATTAAAGTCAAAAGTATATGAAACAGTAGTTCAGAAATATTAATTGGTGTTTAAAATAAAACCTGATCAAAACAAAAATATTTATGTTAGTAAATTATTTTATAAAAAAGATTATTTTAAAAAGCAATAATTATATTTATATATTTCGACAATGATTATATTTCGTCTTCCTTACTCTTGCTATTTTCTTGTTCTATATCGTTGACGATTGTCACTAATCTTTGATTGCTTATTGCAGTTGGAATAGAATCAGTTCTTGGACTGTGATTTTTCGAATCCAACGAGGAATTGACAACATTAGCATCAACTTCTTCGAAGTCTTCATTATTTTCTTCGTCTTTTGCGTTTATTTCTTCTTCACTCTCTTCTTGATCCTCCTCTTCCTCATCTCGTTCATCCTCTTCTAGATTCCCTTCTTGTTTCTCTTCACTTGAATGCCCTTCAGTCATCGTTGATCCACCCTTTTTATTTGCCAACATTTTCTTAAAATGAATTTCAGCATCAACACTGCCTGCATTCGTAGGAGGTGCTGAACTGTCTCCAGATTTGTTTGAATGATTAGAAGCTGGCCTTGCTAAATGAGAAAAAATTTTAAAAAGTAGTCTAGCGAAAATTTCTTACGTATCTCCTTAGTGAGCAATGAGCTGAAAAAATTTGCCAACATTGTATTATTACTATCCCCTCCACCAGCTTGACCTCCAGCAGTTCCCTTTCCTCCTTGTCTAGGCGATTGCTGACCGCCAGTGCGCGGTTGCCCAGGATTTGAAGAATCAAATGCTGTCATCGATGCTAATCTATTCAAAAATACTTGCTCATCTTCAGCTTCAATTTCTTTTTCGCCAAAATTTTTGTTAGTGAATGAAAGAAGAGTATCGTTCTGTTGGGCGAGAAGAGGAACTTGACCGGAGCCATAACCAAGTGATTCTTTGACAATTGAAAGTTTTTGTTCAGAGTCCCAACCCTTAAAATATAAAAACATAAATTAACTTGTAGTTAAATTAATTTATACCGTCGGTACAAAAATGCTATCCTTTTCGACAATATAGGCAGGTGTTGTAAATGGAAGGGCATATATTCGATGGCCAATGTATTTTAATAGCATTTGTGTATTTAAATCTTCCTTTGCAGATGTATAAAACTAAAATGAAAATATTAATTTCAACAAAAAGAAAAAATACGAGAGCAGCTCCATGTCTCAAACAAAATTGTCGAACATGATATTGCACTTTATCAAGCTGTTCAGTACTAAATTCTGTGTGCAAATCGCTCTTGGTGATAACAACAAAAAGAGTAGCACCACAGTTCTCTTCGAGAATTCCTTTTTCTGGAGGTAATAAAAGTGGAGAAGATGGACGTTGATCGCCAACCATAGACCCAATATTAGAAGACGGGCCTAAAATAGAAATAAAAATACAAATGTTAAAGATTGTTACCGTCCACTAAGGTAGCAGTAGAATGCAAAGAACTCTCAATTGGCTCAACATATTCTTGCCAAAAGCGAATTTCTGGAATTTTAATTGAGAATTAATTAAACAAATATAAACATACGCATTTGTTGAGCTTGGAAAATTTCATCCGCCGAGTAATGTTGCCTTATCTGCTCATCAAGTAGTCTATACTTGCGCCTAAGAGTTGGCAAAACATTTCCAGGTTGTTCAAGAGATGCACACAAAATAACTACACATTTGGCTAGCGAAGGGGGAAAAGCAAATTTTAACATAGGCGCCATTTCCTCACGTCCATCAAGAATCCAAACAGGAAGGGTTGCTGACTCAGTTGGACCAAGTAGACCGTTAGCACCACCACCTTAAAATTTCATAAAGTAAATTTTTTAAAAACGGCATTACTACGACCTAGTCCCAATTAAAATTCTAATATAAAAAAATAAAAATACCAAGTTGATAAACATAACTCGCACTAGCATCAGCATGAATTTGAAGATAGTTGTACTCTAGGACAGAATTCATTGGTTTACGTGTACCGCCCATAAGACGAGACATTAGGGATGATTTACCAGAACGTTCATTTCCTTAAAATTTAAGACAAAATAAAAAATTAACAAAAACAAACCCAAAATTATTAAACTACTACGCACAGCATTGTTATTTTTATTGCTAACTTCTTGAAGTATTTTTAGCCAAAGTTCGTCGCCATCATCTGATTGACTAGAAGGAATGGTGTTTGGTCTTTCAGTACTAGGAGGTAATCCATCCAAATAATTAGTTCCCATACCAGTAATCATAAAAAAGTTTAAATGTTACAAAATCTGAAAATTTAAAAGTTAGAAAACGAAAAATATTCTGAAAACCAGACGCTGAATTTCTCAAAAAAAAAATAACAGGCAGAAGAATAAAAATTGGCATTTTGTAAATTGACGTTTTGTCATTTTACAATTCATAATCTCACCTAAAGCTAAAATGTTAATTGTTAAATGTTGAAATGTAAAAAATACAAAATGTTTGTGAAAAAATGTTCTAAATTTTTAATTTATGGGGGAAAGCGAGACGTTCGAATGTTTGTGTATTTTGTTCGTTGTATTGATTGGTAAGCATTTTTTGTAAAATTCACATGGTATTAAAAGCTAAAGAATAATTTCCTATACACTTTTTTAGAATTAGCTATGAATAATTAGAAAGCATTGATAAAATAAAAGTAAAATTAGAGCAGACAGAAAGTAGACTAGTTTATTTTTTAAAAATATGGTTTTCAATTAAAAATATTTTTTTTGTAAAAATTTTTCAATTTTTATCTCATTGATTTTTTGTTTAATTTACACATTGTTCCATTCTTTTGTCCACCGGCATATTAGCCATGACTGTGTAGCTAATTGTAAGTTAATAATTGTCTTCAGAATTTATCTGTCTCACGTAAATATTGTTGGGTTTTTTCTTTTATTTTGATCACCTCCATTCGATATGTAAGCATTTCTAATCGAAAATGTCCAACTCAACGCGTCAAAAAATATTTTCTCGAACATGTAAATCTTACTATATTTTTTCCAGCCCCTTCAAAATTTGTATACTCCCATTAACGATTTCTAATTTTTTGTTTATTTGCATGTATATCGAATTTTCCTATTCTGAAGAACATCCTTTGATTTAGTAAAAGATAATTTTTTATTTTAGATTAGATATTTAGTCATTGAAAAGTAGAGGGCTGTATAGGAGACTTGACAACATATTTTGTAATGAGGGAAGAATCGGAAAAAACTAGTGACCAGTTGCATTCTCACGACGAGGTAATTTTTGTAATTTAGCATTACCTTTATTTTTTTATGTTTAAGGACGCAAACAGGAATGACCAAGATCAAGAAGACGATGAGGTTTAAAAATTAGTATAATTCATTTTAGTTTTTAGATACTCGAGGAGTCTCCATGCAAAAGGTGGTCAAAGCGCTGTGAAAAAGTGAAGCAGCGCGATGTTCCTGGGATTGACGCATCGTACTTGGCGATGGACAACGAAACGGGAAATGAAGTAGTCTGGAATGAAGTACTATTCTCCGAACGTAAAAATTTTCGTGATCAAGAGGTTATTTTTTTCTTAACTTAACAATACCCTGGAAGCTATTTAGGTTCTATGACTTTACTGATAGTTATTTCCTGCCTTAAGATTAAGATTAACTATTAAAATAAAAAATTTTTTCCAGGAGAAGATTAGAGCTGTTTTTGATCATTTGACTCGTCTTGACCATCCAAATCTCGTGAAATTTCACAAATATTGGGTTGACACTAAATCGAATAAACCGAGGGTATTTTTTTAAATTAAACTAATTCGATTATTAATTATGTGAACAAAGTTTATTTCCTTAAAAATTTGTCGGGAACAGGCCCGTAGCCAAAATTTAATTTTTTGTCCCCTTCTTTGACAAAAATTTGGCCTAAAAGTAATTTCCTCTGATGCCACCCCCTTCCTTAAAAATTTTTCTTTGTTACGGGGCTGGTCTGGATCATGAAAACTTTGGGTTTTTCCTGTAATCAGATTTTCTGCCAAAATTTCCATTGTAGAATATTATAAAATTCCATATCTTTATATGAAATAAAATTCCGTATTTTTTCTTTTAGATAATTTTTATAACTGAGTATATGTCTTCTGGTTCAATGTCTCGTTTCTTACAGAGAGCTCGTTCTTCAGGCACATTGTTAAACATTAAAGTATTAAATTTTATTGGTCTTTTATCCTAATTTTTTGTCCAAGGCTTGGAAGAACTGGAACCGCCAAATTCTCTCTGCTCTTTCTTATCTACATTCTTGTGATCCACCAATTGTGCATGCGAATTTGACTTGCAATACAATTTTTATTCAACAGAATGGCCTTGTCAAAATTGGTTGTGGTATGTATACTTGAAAAAAAGAGTTTAATAATTTTTTAGTTGCTCCGAATACAATTCAACATCATGTCAAGACTTTCCGGGAAAATATCAAAAATATTCATTATATGGCTCCAGAATATGATCGTGAGTGATAATTCTTACACTTAATTTGCCAATGTAATTTTTAAAAGATATGACTGAAGCAACAACTCAGGCAGACATTTACTCGTTTGGCGTTTGCGCTTTGGAGGTTTTTATAAAATATTTTGATAGTCAATACGTTGTTCTATTTAGATGGCAACCAGACCTGGGCGAAACTCAAAATTTTTTTCTGACGAAACGAAACGAAACAAAATTTTTTAAAAATCGTTTCGTTAACGAAACGAAACGAAACAACCAAAATCTTACGAAACGAAACGAAACAAAACGAAACATTTTAATATTCAAAAAATTTTCAAAACTGCATTTATTTCGAAATTATTCGACCTCAAATACGTTATTAGTCGACTATGACTTATAAATGATTTAGTTATTGGTTTATTTACAACAATTGTGTCCCATAAGCCAGGCCCGTAGCAAGGAAAATTTTCGGGGAAGGGGGGGGGTCAATCATTTTCGAAGCCAAATTTTTGGCGACGCTTTTTTTTAAATAAAATTGAATATTTTTCAAGTAAAATTTTATTTTAAGCGCCGCAGACGAAAAATTTTAAAATTTTGAAAGGCCGTAGGCCAAAAAATTCACCATCTTGCTCCATTGCCTACCCAAATTGTCTCCATATCTCCATTTCGAGAGGAAGGCGATATAAGCTAGTGCTTCGCCGGAAGTTCCGGTTCCAGTATTTCCGCAACTCGCAATCCGCAATTTTTAAATTATGATGCGAGTCCGGTAATAGAATTTGTCGTCGATTAAGTAATATGTATATGTGGATTAGGGAGTGGAGTATAAACGGATTTGTAGTATATAAGTAATTGCTATCTTCCTTTTTCAGCGCCGCAGGCGAAAATTTTGACAATTTGGGAAAGCCAAGAAGCCGAAATTCTTTTTTTTTCAGCGCCGCAGGCGAAAATTTTTTAAATTTTCAATAAAAGATGGTAAATTTTATAGATTTTGGCCTTAGTTTAGGCTTAAAAAATTGTTTCGTTTCGTTGAAAAATCACAGGTGTTTCGTAACGAAACGAAACGAAACAAATTTAAAAGTGTTTCGTAACGAAACGAGACGAAACAGTAAAAATCATACGAAACATACGAAACAACGAAACGAAACGAAACGTTTCGCCCACGTCTGATGGCAACAACTGGAGCTTTGCTCAGTGGGTCGTTAAATGGTGGCGGCGAAAAGGAAAAGCTCGCTAATTCAGCTGATGCTATTACGCCGACAGTATCTTCATCTGCTGGCTGTGGTGGTTTTCATCTAGTGACTGAGGAATTGCTGAGAAAAGGAATCGATTTACTCGAGGATCTGGAGCAAAAGGCTAGGAACTTGAAATAAACAAAAGTGCAATATTGCTAGTTAGTCTCCGTTATCTCTTTGGGGTACCAGGTATAATATGGATTAATTGGGTTGTTTAATTGGAATTGATGCGTGACCAACTCTGCCTGTTTATTATGCTCATATGTTTCTCATGGTTACGCATGAGTCCATTTGATTACCTATTCCTTCCCTCTTAAAGGTGACAACATAGAGAATATGTGGGCATATTTTCAAATTATTTTAAAATCTTCCATCTATATTTTTAAGCATTATATTTTTTAGGACTTTATTGAGCGTTGTCTTGAACATGATCCGATTCGTCGAGCAAATGTTGAGGAGTTGCTTAGTCGACTGGGACTTCCTGAACCTGATAAACAAGATGAGACCAGTCTGGATGAGGATGGCTTTTTAGATGATCAACGAAATCAAGATACTGCTCATTCATCTCTTGAACCAACTCCTGTTGTAATTCCAGAAAGGGCAGTTTCTTCCCCACCGCAAGAACCAGCACCAAATATTGACAGATATAAAGCAATACCACCGGCAGCAAATACTCATAAACAAACTGCTGCAAATATTGCTTCAAATACTAAACAAGACGGGTATTCTTTTAAATAATTTAAGGCGGGTACATTTTGATTACTTATATTAATTGTTTGCTTTTTATTGTTTGATTGGTGTTTAAATTTACGTCAAATCCCTTAATAGTCCTTATTTTTACTTATTTTTAGGTATAACATTCACTTTACAACAATTACGCCAATAACTACGACAACAAACTCAACAGCTGTTTCTGCAGCTGAGGCCGTTGTTTTGACCACTGCTGCTACATCGACAGTTACGACAAATGCGTTGCTTAATCCACAGAATACTTCTATACAAGATGAGGGTTATCACACAAATCAAAGCATTGGTGAAGCACCTGGACAAAGTTTGGCTTTTTTGAATTGAATTCTTTTCGTACCTAAAATCCTTAAATTTATAAATGTTCTTTATTTAGAAATATTTTTAGAATATTGCGATATTTTTAAAATGTTCAATTATTTCAGCTAATGATACTTCAATATCTGAAAAATCATCTGTTTCTCAACATCAACAACATCAGGAAACTCGCCTAATTACACAAATGCATGCTGAAATATTGGAACAAGGCGGGTATCATTTGCGTATTCAACTTCAGTTGGACGATCAAATGAATAGACAATTGACTGCACCACTTAAGGAAGAGGACACGGCTGAGACATTATCGGAAGAATTGGTTCAGCATGGATTTGTTTCTGAAGTAATGGTTTTATTATATTTTTAAATAGGTATTCGATTAGAATTTGAGTTAAATGGGTCCCTTGTTATGGGGAAAATGAGAGTTTTAGCCAAATTTTTTGCGATTTACATACCAATTCTCAAAAATCGAGGGTGGAAGTAAATAGAATTAGGGCAGAGTTAAGCGAGATTTCCACTTGTACTATTCTTTTCGCTTGAGAATATATTATAAGCTTGTTAACTCTGGATTTTAGTAAAAACAAAGTATTCTCAATTTTAGAGTAATTCCTTGAAAGTGCGAGAACTATTGGACTCAATAATCAGTGAATATCGATCTAGGAAATTGAAAAAAGCCGAGCGTTGAATGTATGGGATATAATATATATGTACTTTTTCGTTATTTCTATTGACCTTTTATCCAATCATAATTGCAAGGACGTAATCAAGAGTCGAATTTCAGGGGCCATAATAGGATGTACGCTAAAATTTTGACATTTACTTTGTCGTTCTGGCCCTGGATATGCCCTTGCATAATTGTAATTGGTACCAGCCCTTATGTTGAATTTTTACATTTTTAAATAAATAAAAATTCAAAACTCGCTTATATACATATTTAAATATATTTATTTTTTTTGCCCGTAAATTTCCGCCCATAAATTTCCGTCACTAAAATTATCCAAAAATTCATTTCACACAAAAGCACAAACTAGTGCTAGTGGCGATAATTTGAGGGATGTCTCCGACAGTGATGTCCTCCCTCTCCATTATTTCCACTTTTCCCATGCTTCTCAAACTTCCTTTCCTTTTTATGCTTTTATTTTTAAACAATTTTCCTTTAAAAAGATTTGTGCTTTAAAAAAAGATTTTTTTACAATTAAAATGTTTGTTTTTCTTGAAGTATAGTTTTTACATTAGACAAAAAATTGTAACTTTCTGTTAATATTAGGGTAACTTGATATAAGTATGTCCATAAATATTTTTATTAATCATTGTAAAAATGAGTAAATAAATATAGTAACAATTATCTGGTTGCCTAGGAGAAAACAGGGCTATATTTTTTATATTTTTAGACAATAGAAATAATTGTTGAATTATTTTACGGAATTTTATAAATTATTGTCTAAAAATATAAAAAAATATAGCTCAATAAGTACACATTTCTTTGTAAAATTTAAAAAGGGCCTATGACAAACCGCTGCAAGGGCTGTCAATTTTTATATTATTTTATCGACTGAAACGGAGTCGTCTCACTAACAACAAAAAAGGAAAAAGAAAATAATATTCTTTTTGTTATTCCTATAATTTTTAAAAATTAACTTCCTTTTTTGAAACAATTTTTAATGGCCGATGATGAAGACTTTTTAAGTGAAATGCGTGGAAATGCTGATCGTCTTTCTGATTGTTTAAGTTCACTCCTTCATCGAATAGAGCAATTAGAAACACAAAAAATTATTAAAAATATAGAAATTAATTCGAATCATAATGAAGAAATATTATCATCACCTACAACAATTATCGATAAATTGGTTTTGATTTAAAAATTATAATTTAAATTTAGATAAATTGAAAATAAAAAGGAAATTTAAATAATTTAGTTTACGAGAGAATGTAAAAATAAAAATTTTTGTCGGGCTTTAAGTTTAAGTAACATAAAAATTAAATTCCTGATTTTCGGGAATTGTGTCGGCAAGAACGCTGGTTTACAAATTACTAACTACCACACAGTGGCTATCTAAATTTAAGAAAATTAAAATTGAGGCGTATGTATGTAAAATGAGGTTCGATTGTATAAATATTAAGACGGTATTTAATAATTTATTACTACATGGTATTAAAAATAAAAATAATTAGTCGGAAAATAAGGGTCGAAAAATAGGTATGGTGATTCTAATCTGTTAACAATCTCTTGACGTAGTAATAAAATTCTGTTTAGATTAAATTAAATCTTTATTTTTTTAATGTTTAGTTTTTTTAATTTTTAGTTAAATGGAAAAGGAAAATTTTATGATAGTCAATTAACCTCTCGTCGTGAATACCTCAGTGTCGATCCATTTTCTGGTCAGCGCAAATTAGTTACTATAATTGAACGTCCATTACCTAGTGGCCCTTTACGTGCCCAATCACCCACCCAATTAAATAGTCCAGAAACGGAGCAATTAATTCAAAGTAAAAAACATTTATTAGCTAGTGCTTATGAATCTAGAATTGTTGAAATACAACCAAATGTACTAGAAGGATTAGAAGTAGAACAAATTTGTGGTGATTTTTGATTTAAAATAAATTATTTAAAATATTAGAACACCACGTTTAGATACCTCCAGAGTTGGATAACCTTAATGTAGAATAAGTTTTTTTTAATTAGATTGGTAGCTGGATCAAAGGAGATACCTAAACGATAATTTTATTTAAGATAAAGCTCATCTCTTTTTCCTTCATTATGCTACTTATCCCTTAAATCACCCTTAATTAATTCAGAACTCCTTTAATCGGAGGATATCATGGATATCAATCCCCTTATATACAACAAATTTACTTATATCCAACGCCACAATCCCCATATACAAAAAAGGATTTTAATCCTCGAAAAATTGCTGTTTCGGTTAACTGAAAAATTTGGTGAAACCGACAACCCTGCTCATATGATCAGATTTTCATTATTTTATATTGAGTTTACTGTATTATTAATTTATCTTTTAAAATATTTAAATTTTTGTTAAATAATTATCTGATAATAAATAATATTTTTAGGTCAATTTGTAGCAGTTAAAGTAACCCCAGAATTATCAAACTTTATTAGACCAGGAGATACACTTGTTGAGGTAATTTAATTAATTACCTAAATTGTTAAGAAATAAAAAGTGTTATTTTTCAGTTAGATGGACAGCCATTTATTAATAAAAAACAAATTTATCAACCTAAAGGAGCTGTTCAAATAAAATTAGTTTTGTCTGATTTATATTCTGCTCCAATGGTTTTAAAAAATAAATTTAATAAAAATAAATTTTTTAAAGGAATTTTGTCGAGTTTTGGATGATTACAAAGCTAATATTATTTCTGAAAATATAAATCAAAATTTATTGCCATATTTATCTTTTTCCTTACAACGTGGGGATATACTTCAAATTCTCTCAAAAAATGAAAATTATTTTCAAGTAATTACAAAAAATATATTTTTAAGGAAAGATTAACATTATTGCTTTCGGATGCTTTTGGCCCCCTGTGAAAATTTTTGGAAAAATTGAATTTTTTTTAGAAAAACGGATATCTCCCTTGATATCAGCGGTGGATATTGCCAAAAATGGCTGCGGATCAGGGCTGCACGCAATTGCGGATTACGAGTTGTGGATTGCGTAAATTGCGGGGGTTTTTGCAATCGTGAGTTGCGGATTGCGGGTGCGGATTTTTTAAAAAATTGCGAGTTGCGGAATTCAAAATATACCAATATAATTTTTAAATTTACTAATCCCCTTTTTCCAAAAAAGGCCAGAAAAGTTAATGATTTATCTACTTCTGGTTTCGTCCCAAACAATATTCGAACTCGCCCTGTGGCAATGTTATGCCCTTATGGAAGAAGAGTTATTGCATTAATTGGTGCTAATGGGGTTGGAAGAAGATCTTTAAAGAAAATGTTAATTGAATATAGACCTTATGAATTTGCTGGGGTTGTTCCAAGTATTTTATTTAGAAAAATATTTATTTTTTAAATAAAAAAAGTTACTTCGCGAGCACCAAAACAAGGAGAGCAACATGGGAGGGAATACTTTTTTGAACGAAAGGAAGACGTTTTACAATTAATTCGTGATAGGCAAATGATTGAATGGGGAGAATATAATGGTAATAAAATAAATGAATTCGGACCTCATTATAGAAAACCCCTTGGGGCTAGAAAAATAGCATCTTATAATAAGGTATACATCAATGCTGCGTATGGCTCCTGGAGCTAGCTCCGGAACTATGATTTTAAAATCCACGGAGCCTGAGCCAAGAGTTTAAAAACCCCGGAGTTGAGCATGATTTAAAAAGAGTTGGGGTCTGAGCCGCAAATTGCCCAATACCCAACACTGGCATACACCCCAAATCTCTTCGCGGGGACAAACTTTAATATAAAATCATATTATTAATCCTTAAAAATGCAGACCAACTTTATGGAACTACAGCAGAATCTGTCCGTCAAGTTATCCGTTCTGGACGTGTTTGTGTTTTGGATTGTTCACCAAAAGCAATATCTAGTTTATATAATTCTGAGTATTTTTATTTATTTTTTAAATAAAAAAATATTTTTTATAAAAGATTTATGCCATTTATTGTCGTTGTTGCCTCACCAGAATTAGACGAACTTATCCAATTAAATAAAGAGCAAACAAATAATTTAGATAATTTAAAAAATATTTGTGAACAAAGTTGTAAATTTGTTAATGAAAATGAGTGGGCAAAACAAGCAGATTTACTATTAATTAATAGAAATAGAGATATTTCTTTGAGAAGGTTAAAAAAATTTAAAAAAATTATTTTTAATTTTTTTTCAGACTTTTGGATGCATTAGAATCATTAAAATCAGAATCTCAATGGATTCCTTTGGAATGGCTACAAACTAATTTCCAAGCCCCTCCTCAACAAACTACTAAAGTAACCAAAAGGAAATAATCTTCATCTCTTTAATTTTGTAGAAAATTTGAAATATTTTTGATTAATGATTCACTACAAAATTTTGTATTTTAATATTTTTATTAAACCCTGAGAAGGTTAAAACTTCCCTCATATTTTCAAATTTAAAAGATCTCCTTATTTTCTCTGTGTATCTCAAAAATAAATTTAATATTAATTTTATTTATAATTTTCAATAAATAATCACATTGAATAAACTTTATTTTTTCTTAATTTAAAATAAAATGTAGTGTAGGGGGGGGGATTGATAATGGATTTGATTAACCTTCCTTCATCAACCTTTCTAGGTAGCCCGATTGCACTTCCCTCCCAATATTCCCTTATATTCTGGGCATGGTTCCTGCATGACTTCGGCACTAAATTTTGGAGAATATGGAAAATAAATATAATTTTTAAGAAAAATACAAAATAATTTAATTTAATTATTAAAACACAAAAAATAAAAAAAAAAATTTCAAACCACTGACAAATTTAAAAAATAATTTTCAAAGTTATTTTTAGAATAAATTTAAAAAATAGCAAAAATATATTCACGTGTATTTTACATTACATTATTTAAAAATATTCAATTTTATTCGAAAGCAGAGTTGGTTCAAAATTTATCTTTGGAATATTAAAGCTTCTATCAACATTATAAACTAAAATACACGTGAATATATTTTTGCCAAAAATGGAATTTAATATTTAATAAAAAAAGATTTAAAAAAAATAAATCAAAAATAAATTATTTAAAAATATCCAAACTACAAAAATAATATTTTTAAAAAATAAACTACAATTTTATATAAATGCAAAAATACATAAAGTATTCGTGGCTTATTTAAAAAATAAAAAAAAATTATTTAATTTCTAAAATTTACCCAAATTAAGTATTCAAGAAAATATATAATTTTGTGTTTTGTATTATTTTTTGCAAAAATATACTGAAATTAATAAAAAAGAAAATCACGTGAAAAATATAAAGTAAATAATTATTTAAATAGTCATAAAAATATTAATTAATAAATAAATTAATTAAAAATATTATTTAGACGTTTAAGAATTATAGAAAATATTCTCAAATATTTCTCTAGAAAAAATTAATTAAAAAACTTTTTACCTTTTTAAAAATAATTTTTTTTATTTTATCTATTTTTAATATTTATCTAACCACAAATAAAATACCATAAATGTCTAAATAGAAGCCCATTCCAAATACCAGAGGTGGGTCGGAATTCCGATTTCCGACGTTTTTTTCCTTCCAATTTCCGAAATACAAGCCCATGCCCTATTAGAGGGGTATTGAAAATATGAGCTTAGGGCGTCTATTAAGACATTTATTTTTTAAATTTTTTAAAATATATTTTAATAATTTTTAGATAAAATAAATATAAAATGAAATTTTTGTTTTTCAATTTTTTTATTTTAATAATTGTTCTAATTAATATTGGAAATCCGTCATTAATTGTTTTGGCAAATAAGAAAGAAGCTAAGAAAGGCAATTTGATTTTTGAACAAACTAGACAAAAACGCCAATTTGAGAAGGTTGAAGTAATGTTGAAGAAAGGAAAAATCGGAGGATTAAAAATAAATGATGGGCAATAAGATGAAGAGAAATAAATAATGAGTTGAAAATAATGAGTAATAGAAAATAATGAGTTGTGATAAAAAAATTCAAAAAAGAAAAAATTAAAGGAAGAAATTTGGGTTAAAATTATTATTTAAATTTGGGATTTAAATAAATATTTTGATTATTTTTTAAAAATAAAATTCCCTAAAAAGGCTTTAATTATAACCAAAAGAACATATAATTATAATTGGATGCGGCCCTTCATCAGGGTAATTAGCGGAGAGAGTAGCAAGTTCCATTTCTTCATTTTCTCAACAAATATTCTTAAAGTTGCCGAGGCAAAAATGGGAGTAAATTAAAGTTGCCTAAAATTAAAAATATTATTTCTTATTTTAGTTAAATATAAACATATTTTTGCTGTCTTTAACTAAATAAATGATTTTTGCTGCTAATGAATACGCAATAATTTATAAACTTTTAGGCCTTAATTAAAAAATTAGAATTTTCATCTAGGATAATTTTTAACGTTTGCGATTACAAAAATTAATTTTGTTAAAATAAAATGTCAAATAAAGTTGAATTCCTTTTAAAGTCCTTAATATTTAATTTATATTATTTATTAGAATCTAGTAAACAATCGGACATTATTTGCACGATGTCTCTCATGGGCAAGAAATCTATGTTAAAGTGTGACTGTTTTATTGGGATGTCGTAGAATTAAGGTTCATTGTATTTTAAATTAATATAGGTATATAAATATCAACTAACACGAGTAGCTATAAGCATTGGTTTATTACAAACACAATAAATTGGAAATCGATGTGTGCTAAAAACTTTTTTGGCTGGACCGATTTCGACAAATGATTTGTCATTCGAAGGGTGAATGGTAATCCGACAACTAGGGACCGAGTTACAGACCCCTAAATTTTGAATAAGAGAAAGGGGAGAAAGCTCAAGGCAATAGTTTGGTTTCGGCCCCTTTTTTCCTTTCTATTTTTTCCTAGTTTTTTCTCATTTTATGGCAAATTATATATTATTCGAAAGAGCTCTTCGAGCAGAGTCGAATGACATTAAAATTAACGAAACTGACATAAGTGAATGCCTACTTTATCCCCTATTTATTATGACCGCCTACTTTATCCCCTTGGATTGTCACGAAAAGTCTTCCAACAAGGATTTAGCTTCTTAATTTTGGTAAGAATGATTAGATCTAGCTAATCATGGTATCATTCGATTGAGTTTTAGATGAATGAATTTAAGTTTTATTAGGCAGAATTATATTTGTAAAATAATAAGTAACAAGATTTAATTTAGATAAATTCGAAGATTTGAGTTTTAGATGAATGAATTTAAGTTTTATTAGGCAGAATTATATTTTTAAAATAATAAGTAACAAGATTTCCGGTTCGAAAACACCAACTCTAATAATTATGATTAAAAAACTTACAAAAAACCGTTGATTGGATAACTGTTACTGGTAGGAATAGGATTTCCTTGTCAAATTCCACTGAATCAGCCCGAAAAATTTAGCCAAACCCGCAGTATACTGGTAGGGAATAGGGTCAAGTACTCACCCAGACCAACTGGCCGTAGGTCCGGAACCCAGAACCCGAATTTGCTCCGTAGCTTAGAAATACAGAGGAATAAAAATGTTAACACCTGTAAACAAGACATATCTTTGAAGACAAGACCCAACCACAAAAAGCAATACTAAACATAACAACCACAAAAGAAAGAAAAACACAGAAAAAGCACAGAAAAAGCAAGAAAAAAAACAAATGGAAACACATTGGCAAACAAAAAACAAATCCGTAAGACTCAAAAGAGCAAGACTCCAACATTGAATTTAATTCGTCCTAAAACGTTGTCCAAATTGAATTTGGCCGGCCGAATTGAATTTGGACAAGAATTGAAATTGGACTACGACATACATATACACCAGGGGTGCAGCTCGTGCCACAAAATACGAGACACGAGATTTACGAGATACGAGATTCTCAAAAAAATACGAGAACGAGATAAAACGAGATACGAGATCTCTCAAAAAATACGAGATTTCACGAGATACGAGACCACGAGATACGAGATATTAAGTATTTTTTTCAAAATTATTCATGCATAAAATTGTAAGGCTGAAAATATAAGGGTTTGAATGGATAATGATTACAGCTGGATTATGAAGGATATTAGGGATTTAGTGGACCAAGGGGATTTATTGAGATATCGGGGATTACGGAGAATATCATGGGATCTGGAGGGATCAAGGAGCTTGACCAACTTTATCTCTCTTCTTTTTTCAGCGCCGCAGGCGTAAATTTTGAGAATTTTAGAAGGCCGTAGGCCAAAAAAATTCACCATTTCAGCGCCGCAGGCGACAATTTGAAAATTTTGGAAGACCAATTGACAGGATTTCTTCCTTTTTTCCTAATTCTAGGTTAATTAAAATCAAAGGGGTTACTTAAAATTTAAAGATGCTTTAATCAAAATTAATTGTTAAATTAGGATCACAAGAGCCAAATTGAAGACAAAAACATATCAGGAACCAAGAGAAAACCTTCCAAATCTAATAATATCCAACATAATCCTCCGATTTCCTCTTCAACTCCAACTTTTCCCTTAAATCCACTGATATTTGTTGATTAATAGGGATATCGAGGGAATTTGAGATTAATCCTCCGATATACATACATAAAAATCCCTTTTCTTCTTTTCAAGCGCCGCAGGCGAAAATTCTGAATTTATGGGAGGCCAAGACGCCAAATTTCTTCACTTTTAGCGCCGCAGGCGAAAATTTGAGAATTTTGGAAGACCAATGGGCAATATTTCTTACTTTTTTTCCTAATTCTAGGATCTTAAAATAGTCCAAAATTTTTGACATTTTTTCTAAAATACATTGAAAATATCTCGTGTCTCGTGGCAAAATACGAGATACGAGACACGAGATACGAGACCTCTAAAAAACACGAGATTTCACGAGATACGAGACGAGATGCACCCCTGATATACACTATGTATTATCTTTAATGGGACATTCCGTCATTTTTAATAAAAAAATAAACACAACGCCAAACACTGCCAAAAGTCTCGCAAAATTCAAAGCTGCGGACAAACAAACAAACAAACAGGAATTCAAAAATTAAATATAGGATAGGATTATGCTACTAGTGCGTAACCCAGCGACACTCTGCAAGGCGCGTGCCGCAAAACCTCGTGCAAAGCGCGGGTTTTACATAAGCGCCTCGCCGACGTCCATAGGTTTACTTGGTTTATTTTTATATAGTAACCTTGTCCAAACTTATTCAATCAGAAATTTTGGTGTCATTCGACTCAGCTCGTCGAGAATTTTCGAACGAGATATCATTTGCATTTTCGATTTTTCATCCCAACATGAACTTATTCCCCCTTCTCTTTTTGTCTTTAGGGGTCTGTAACTCGGTTTATTCCCTCGGTTTATTCCCTCGCGATTTATCCCTCGCTCGATCGAACAGCAGCTCTCGAATGACATAATTTGTTGAAATCGGTTGGGTAAAAAACTACCTATAAGTTAAAACATTTTTATGATTTAAGCTTGCATTTATTCATAAAATATTTATACAAATATTCAAAATGCTCGTCATGATTATTCTGATAGTTGTGTGAGTTGCCATTTATAAGCTTTATTAAATTTATAACTTTTTCAGTATTGTGCTTTTGCTCATTGTTGTATATCTTCTTCACAAAAATAATAAACAATTTTCACAACAACAACCGAAACCTTCAGTAACGTTAACTGCCTTGCCAGCTCCTGAGGCAATTCTACATTCGACCCCGCCATCTCATTTAGGGCTTCCAAATACACTTCCACAGCCAGTGCCAGTTGGGAATGATTCAAAATCGTAAGAAATCAATTCATTTTTTAAGAATACTTTTTTAAATTTCTTTAGTTCGCTTCAAATTGCAATTTTACCAATTATAGTGGTTGGAGACAGAAACGAGAAGGTGAATTTGCTGCATAATGGAGATAATAAAGCTGAGAAAGGAGGCGGAAAAATGGGAACAAGTAAGAAGGAGAATTATTTGGAAAGGCGGTAAAGATTTTTTGAAAACATTTTCAAATGATCCACTTTAAAATTTAAGTAATCCGACACAAAATTCAATTTCGTCCGAAGTGTTGTTTGGAGATAAATGCAATGATGAGAATTCTAAAAAGTAAGTGAACTTTTCTGGAAGATTTTTTGGTTTTTTCCTTTATACGACCGCAAACTGAGATCCAGCCGACTTTGATCGGCTATAACATTTTAATGCTTGATCCACTACAAATAAATTTTAGGTATAATTTCGGAATACTGAACAGAAAGCAAATGGGTCAAGTTATATGTCATTCGAAAGAGCTCGCTGAGTTGAGTCGAATGGTGAAAAAATTTTTGTGCGGACTCATACGGGGGCTGAGATATAGGCCCCCGAAAATCGAAAAACCATAGGGGGGACCAAGCACTTTTTTGGGGTCAAAAATTCGAATATGCAAATGATAGCTCATTCGAAAGAGCTCCTCGAGCTGAGTCGAATGACACCAAAATCAACAAAATCCGACTTGATTGGACAAAGTTATGATCTTTTATTTTAGCTCCTTACCTATGTCATCTATGGAGATTTTTGCTGCTACGGAGGCCCCAAATAAGTCCAGAGCAAGGGAGATAGGAATAGGTTTATGTTACGAGCCCAGACCCATCGCCCGTAGACTCCCCGCGAGGCGCGTGCCGCAAAACCCCGCGCGAAGCGCGGGGTTTTGCACAAGCGCCTCGCCGACGCCCCATAGGTTTAGGTTTTTTGTCGTAACTTTGTCTAATCTTGTTTAATCACGGTGATTTTGGTGTCATTCGACTCAGCTCGTCGAGCCCTTTCGAATGAGGTATAATTTACATATTCGAATTTTTTTGACCCCAAAATTTTCCAAATTTCGGGGGTCTGTAACTCGGCCATATGAAGTCGGATTTTGTTGATTTTGGCGTCATTCGACTCAGCTCGACGAGCTCTTTCGAATGAGCTATCATTTGCATATTCGAATTTTTCACCCCCAAAAACAGCTTGGTCCCCCCTATGTTTTTCGATTTTCGGGGACCTGTATCTCAGCCCCTATATGAGTCCGCACGAAAATTTTTTCACCGTTCGACTCAACTCGACGAGCTCTTTCGAATGACATATGGTTTGACCCATTTGCGTTCTGTTCAGTATTCCGAAATTTTTCCTAAATTTTATATCATTCGAAAGCCCTTGATAAGCTGTATATTTTTTCAAATAGGATAGGTCATGTCTGATCATGGATTTTATAAACCGATAAGTCCAGTTATTTGATGTTTTTCACATTTGACGGGTTATAACTTTTTAATAGGTGATCAGACCTGATCCATCAAGTTGAAAAAAACTATAAAATTCATTTGTATTGGATCACGTATTAAAAAGTTATGGCCGATCAAAGTCGGCTGGCATCGGTCGTATAACGGAAAAGTACCTTTTTTTAAACGTTATAGAGAAGAAGATGCAACATCCTTATCAGGAAGTGATAGCAGTTCATCTAAATTTGACGAACAAGAGGCTGCTGCAGTGTTCAAGGCAACTTTTTTTTATATTTACTGTAGAATAATTAGTTTAGCAATTTCTGATTTATTTTTAAAATTTGGGGAGTTGTACAACCATTATAATAGCATGATTTTAGATGCTGATAGAAAGTATACCAGCTCTGTCAAAGTTTGCAACATTAATGCGAGGGGCAACGAATGAATCAAATAAAGAAGAGGAAAGAGATTATTTCTATGCTGGAACCAAACAACTTTATTCCAATGATGCGAAGTTAAGTCAAAAAGAAAAAGAAATTATTGCCCACCATGAAGCTTCACATACAGTCATTAGTCATTTACTTGGCTTTCCAGTTCAAAAGGTTTTCTTATTAGTATTTGAGAATTTAACTCAATTTCGATACATTCCATCTTTGAGATTGTTCCAGAAAAGGGTTAACCTTTAGGTGAGAATAAAATAGATAATCAAAGACTATTTTCCGTGTCAGGCTAACTCATGAAAGGGGACGAAACCGGCCTACGAAAGCACGGAACGACTAATTTTGTCTTTGTGTTTCGACTCCGTATTTTGTCCACATGCGTTTTATCTGTTCCGCCTTTTAGCCTGATGGGTTTAAGTATCATTTGCCTGTATTGTGTTCTACTTACTAGAGATCGGACCGTACCGTACTACGGCCGTATTTTTCGGTATTTATCGGTATTCCGTATCGGTAATACGGTACGGAATACGGTACGGAAAATTTTTTAAAAAAAATACGGTACGGAATACGGTACCGATGAAAAATATCGGTATTTGTCGGTATTTCTCGGTATTTATCGGTATTACAGTCGGTAATACGGTACGGAATACGGTACGGCAACATTTTGAATTTCATCGGTATTTTTCGGTATCGGTATTTTTCGTTATTACGGTACGGAACAAAATTCCGATCTCTACTACTTACCATTTGAAAATACGCAGACCATTCGTCGGAAATGATCAATGTCTTTCATCATTTGAGTATACCACAGGCAAAAAAAGTGGAAATTAACGGGGAAGAAAAATCTAACCATTATGACATTAAGGGAGGAAAAACTGATAAAAAATTAAATGCGCCCTTCTTTTCATATAGGGCTCCCTAGTTTATACTACGCATTTTTCAAACAAAAAGTATTTTCAATTTATTTTAATTTATTAAGGTTACGCTTGTCAAGAAGGATCATTTTCTCGGGCTGACGATTTTTGATAACGCTGGCAAGCTGTTATGGACAAAAACTGAATGCAACAACCTTATGGTTTCACTTCTTGCATCTTCTGCTGGAGAGCTTCATTTTTTAATGGTAACATAACGTAACGGGAACTTCCTAGGTCGGGATTCCCAAAAGAGAACTAGGTCGTTCGCCGCTAAAAACAATAGTCGAAAGTGTGTTGAAGTCGATGAGCGTCTTAATCCCAAAGATTAAGACGTGGCAAACCAAAAAGGAATGTTAGGCGATTAGGCGAGGATTTGGATGGACGGCCAAGTTTAGACGATGGACGAACAATTGAATATTCCCAAAGAATATTCAACAAAGATTACCAAAAGAATATTAAAATACAAGAATATTTAAAAATATTTATTTAATTAAAGAAAATTTATAATTGTTTGTATGCGGTTGGGGAAAAATGATTATATGAATGTGTCAAAGAATGTTGGTGTAAGGGGAAAAAATTGCCTTAAATAGGCCAGAATTAATGTGTGTGTGGTAAAGAATGTGGGGGAAATGGCAAAAATGGAAAACATAAAAAATTATATGTTTTTAATGAAGTTGGGCGGAAATGCACTTTTTCTCCCTTTTTTCCCTTTTGGATAGAAATTATTAATAATTTTAGATTGGAATTTAAGATAAAATGGATAAATTTATCCATTTTATGGAAAAAAGAGAGAAAGAGCAAAGTAGGCGATAACGATCACTAAAAAGTGATGTCATACAAAATAAAAAGGAAAAATTAATAATTTAATTAATTTCCTCCTTCGACGAAAATTTGAAGAAATTTTCGACATTGCCGCGGGCAGGCACTTCAGTGGGTCCTTAGTTGTTAATGGTTAAGTTGATTAGTCGATATTCCATTTGTCGATTTTAGTTTTTTTGTAAGTTTTGTAAGTTTGTTGTTAAGATTTGTTTGAAGATGTTGATTTTAAATTTATGATGTTTCACCACGTTCTTTAATTTAAATGGTTTGGCTTCGCCAATAAAATTATGAAGATGCTTTTATTAATTTGAAGATTGCTTTTTATTAAAATTTGATTTGTTGTGAAGTTTCTTTTGTTGAATTTTGACGTTAAGGATTTAGACGTTAAAGTTTAGGCGTTTAAGTAATATGTGTTGAACATTTGACGAGGACCCATTGATGACATTTGAGTTGATGATGCATCCATTCCAAACATTTGAAAAAATTACAAAGAAAAAGATTAAGGAATTGGGGATAAATATAAATATGAAAAGAAAAAAAAAAGGGGGGAGAAAGAGAAAGATAAAAAATTTTAAAATTTCTTTACTGCTTTCCTCCATTCCAACTCCATGAGGTTGAAGGTTGCTCAGAAGGTGCAAGTTGTTGAACAAGTTCAATGACTTCATTGATGTCATCTTTAGCTTTCGCAAGTTTGTCGATAATTTTTTGACGCGTTGCTTCGGTGATTACATGAATTTGACGAGGTTGTTGATCTTCTTCACGATCTTCTTTAGGTTTTGCCAATGGTGTAGGAATTACGATTTCCAAGTTTTGCAGGGGGAAGTAACTTTTGTGGTCGTATCCCATTTGCCAAGGGATAAATCCTCGACGTTGACGTTGGCGAGATTGACGTGATGTTCCACGGATGCCACCAAATTGTCGTAGTACAGGGAGATGTGGTTCCCTAATCGGTAGTCCTTTCAGTTGCCAATGTTGTGCTACAGTTTCGCCGGGTTGAACAAGAAGTTTCTGTGATGGTTTGTAGGTGATGCAGTCCCAGTCTGTGATGTTGTTGCCGTTGGTGTGGTCGCGTATCATTATTCCTCTAAGTTGCCGGTTTATTTTGTCGATAGTCGCCACGGTTTTCCACCAATTGTTTCCAAATCGGCTTGCTAAATATTCGTCCAGACGTTCGGAGGCTTCTTGGCGTTGACGATTTCCGGTTCGACGTGAATGTAACCGTGTTGGAGATATTTGACGATAAGACGGAGGTGGGTTTGATGCATGACGATTGCGAGGTGGGGAAGGTGTTCGTGGGAATTGCGGTTCCATTTGACGACTGTTGCGAGGTGTTCCAAAACCTCCGTTGTTGAATGGCGATAATGGACGAGAAGACATTTTGAATTTGGCGTAGACGAGCAGAGTGGAGTTGTGGAATGAATGAATTATAGTCGATTGATGTTGTATATTTATAATACTAGGCGTGTTGAAAATAAATTTATTTTCCCATGATGATTGAGCGTGTTGATAGTCGATAAGTATGATGTCATTTTGCCGCTCAGTTAGATTGAATGTGTGTGGTCCAGTTAGTCGCTGTAAATTGTTTTCCTTTTTCTGAAGGGAACATCCGGCCGGCCACACAGAAAGTGCAATAATTATGATTGGAATGTAAAACGTTGAGTTGAAGGGTAAAATCGGCGCAAATCTTTTTTGGCGTTTTTGTCGAAAAAATGGACGAAAGGGTTTTGGCGTATGGAGATAGACGGTTCGAATCATTATGCATAATATACTCGTCGAAACTACGGCAATTCCAAAGAGATTCCATCCAAATGTATGTTTCGGCGATATAGGCGCAGACGAAATTCGATCGAGTTTGTCGATTGTTGTTATATTGACTGATTGAACTTGTGCCAGGATTGCAAAGATGGTAATTGTTCTGGCCATTTGGCGATAAATTCGGAATATTGGCGATAGTCGCATGAAGAGGTATACGGCGAGTAGCGCAAGTCCAATTGACGTTATGATGCCAAGAAGAATTGGTCCTCCTTGAAGAAGTTTGCCGAGTACCCATAAGTCGAATCCAAGATCGGGCCACAAACTGAAACTTTCGGGGTCCAAAATCAGTTGTTTTGATCGATGTTGTTGATGTCCCCATTGTCGTCGAAGAGGGATGTAATAAAGGCTGCCATTGAGGTTGAAGGTAGTCTCTCCAGCCGGACAGTCGACGGTACAAATGGTGTTGACGTCTGGGTAGTCGATAGGGATTAATTCTTTGCCGAGGGTTCCATTTGTCGAACAATGGGCGACGAATAAAGTCCCATCTTCACATTTGACGGTGGCCAAGACGTTGGCGTTGTCGGATCGGCATTTATAGGTTATTTGCGCTCCAGCTCCACATCTGTAACATCCATGTAGTTGAGCTTCATCCATGAAGCATTTTGAGTCGCGAAGTTGAAGATGGAGTGCAAGGCTTTTCATTTGAAGATGTATTTGAACAGGTGCATAGACGTATGTTGCTGAAATTGATGGTCCATTGTTGCATTCCACTGTTCCGTCGTTGTGGTTTGGGAAACATTCTTTGCATGCTTCTTGGTCGAGTGAACAGTTTAAGGATCGAGCTGCTTCTTCTGTCGCGCAGTGTAGATCAACTGGTAGTCGACTGACGATTGAGACGGTTTGTCCATTAGTGACGAATGTTGATCCAAGTACTGGCATAGGCGGAAGCGAGATTGCCAAAGGTGTGATGGTTATGTTTCCCCATGCAGACGTAATGCCAGGATGTAAAATGATGGATTTTGATAGTCGTTTGCCACCATTGGTCTCTAACGTGAGTTCGACGTCCATTTGTGGGCTCCAACTTGGGCAGGTGAAGACTTCGAAAACGTTTGAACTGGTTGGTCGAGCAAAATATCGGTAGTACAGGCATGCTGATGTTGGTAATCCACAGCTGTTGCCCCAAAAACTTGTCGATGGTATACAGAACGTGTTGCCGGGTAGTTCTCGTCCCACTTGTAGTTCTTTGACGTAACTATTTGGTCGCACATTTTCACAATGGTCGTTGAAGCATGAGCCAGCTCGAGGGCATCTTTTGACGGCTGTTGGTTCGACGCGATATGAACGTAACCAGGCGATTGATTGTTGATGGCAGGCCATTTTCAAAGATGTTAGACGCATTGACAACGTGCCAAGAGTTAGTCCATGTTCGTCGCGAAGAAGCAATGTGTTGACTTGGCCGGCAGGTAATAACGTAAGTGTGTTGGCGCTATTGACGGTGCAAGTTAAGCCAGTTGTTCCTCTTAAGCAAGTT